TTCTTGGTCCCCTTCAAAACACGCAGCTGACCCACATTTCACAACTCCAAAACCCCTGAGACCCGTCCTAAACCATGACAGGTTCTGCTGCACTACAGCACAACGGGAACAGAGATACCATTTCTGTTTGTCTCAATTTTTGCTTCCTAGAGAGACAATTGGCCAGTGATACTTTTGTTTCTATTTTCACTTGTTAATGTGGTACCCAGCCCTGAGGAGCCCCCCACACCCCTCGGGGGTCTATGTACTGCCCGGCAGCCCACACTGCTGTGGGGCTCCCCACTTACATGACCTCTCTCAAACATCCCATGACAGAATACATGTATGAGAGTCCAAACCTGACTAGAAAAATGTGCATAAATTGCATTTGAACTAAATCATGTTGGAATTATTTGACCTTGCTTTGCAATGCTGCTGCTGCTTGCTGTGCAGGGAAGTATCACCGATTAGCTCAGAACGCTCTGGCACAAGTGGGAAATTTAAATAGTGCTAAAAGAATATAAACCACACTAACACAGAGAAAAAGCACAGGTTACTGCTGTATTAAGGAGAGGGAAATGGTGAGGCCCCTGTGCTTGTCAGTAATACAGCAAGTGGACAAATAAGGAAGCAGGAGGGATGCAAACACTTCTCCAGGACCTGTTACTGAGTTTGGCTCAGCAGCAGGAAACTGAGGAATTGGTTCTCATACTTGATAACCTGAAAAATCACATACTGAACATGCCACTATTTTAATGAATCAACTCCAGATCACATTTGCAAGGAAATTACTTATGAAAACACAGCCTGAACAATAAAATAAATGTATTCTAGCAACGCTGACAGAATTCAGAATTTACATGGGCAAGTACACTCATTCTGTCCTGTCATTACCTTATAATTACACACAGCAGATTGCTGACGTGTCTTGTGCAAGTAAGGCATTATGTAAATACCAGAGTGCAAAGTGCTTTTAAAGGCAATCACTAATTTAAAAACTACTTTCCTGTCTGTTTCATGACTAGATTAGAGTAACAGTAACATCTAAGCCTACTGAAACCAACTAGTGAAAAACCCATGTTTATATGCATTCCAACCATATTCATAGGTAAACACCCTGTGATGATACAATCTTCATTCTCTGCTTGGGGGAGCAGAGAGGGAAGAAACCAAACTTGCATCCTCTTCCTCATTAGAGAGCTCAACACGTTCATGAGTAACACGAGCACAGCTTCCAAGTTCAAAGCCAGAGAAAAGGACAAGGAAGGCTGCATAATCTGATCACTCATTACACAAATGCCAGGTCACCAGCATTTGTGTAATGCATCATGCTTTGTAAAACTAACACAAAACCACAGCAAATAACTACCACTGGCAAAAATTCATGGCAAGAATTTGCTTACTATGAACTTTGTGCAAATATTTCCATGAACTAACTGCAATGTGCTGATAAAAGCAAGTCAAGTGCAATTTCTCTTCCAACTAAATCTTATAATAAAAGTTGTTTTAGTCTAAATAACTTGAAGAAATTCAGCTCCTCTTAGCAAGGACAGCATCTCATCAAATTAATAGTTCCAAGTTCATTAGATGCAGTGTATACTCTTGATCTCTTCCATGTGTACTGCTAGTATTCATAAATGTTTACAATCACTTCACATGGAAACACTTTCAATAACTCCCAGCAATTTCAGCTAGGCACCCTTGAGTTGAACCTTTGCAATATCATTTTTGAGAAGAGTAAAACAATGTGCTAAGACCTTCACTATAATGAATCACTCAAAAATCCTACAGCTCCAAAAGCTCCTGATGATAAAATACAGCCACCACCATTACTTAATAATGTTTTCTTTAAACACATTCATTAACCTTCCTCTGATACTTCAGATCTGAGAATTACAACCCCATCTGGCTAAAGACAAAATTCACGAGTAACAGAGCAGGTGCCATCTCTATGTTTTGTTCACTTAAGGTACTTTAAGAAATTCTCCTGTTGTACTATGGTTTGGTTTGTTGGGCTTTTGGGGGGGGGTGCTTTGATGGACATTTCGCTTATTTGCTTGTTTTAAAAACTTTATCACCAGCCTTCCAATTTAATATTATTTTTCCATTCTTCTCTAATACACTTCTCTTTAAGGATAAGATCTGCAAAGGTCTTGTTCATAAAAGCAATAAAGGGGTGATGGCAGTTGACCTTTAATGCCAAATCTGTGTGCTACTGAGTAGGCAGGATTCTGCAGAACATGGTCAGAAGTTCAATGCTTACAGAAAGCAGCAGACACATTAGGGAACTTTAAAAAGTCTTGACAAAACTGATTATAGTCTGACAATCCCCATACAGACCAGTCTCCAGAAAGATAAAGAAATGGTTCTTGACATACTATGTAATTTCAAAAGAAAAGAGATAGAGGCTGCATTTTAATTAACACAGATACAGAGCTATTGCCATAATACAAGATCTCCTGAGCATGCATACTGGGAAGAAGACAGCAAGAAAAACCAAACAAAAATGCCATCACCTTGTTTGTCAGTTAGCAACTTTTTCCTATTCTCATTTTAAAGTACCTGTAGAAATCAAAATCAGTAGCTGACACAGAAGCTACTGTGGTACCCTGAAAAGAATTGTTAGCCTGTTTCAAACCTACACTGACTACTTGATCAAGAAATTCAGGTTCATACTTCTGCCACACTATTAGCTGAAACTTTAAGGTTCAAAGGGCTTGAAAGAAAGGTAATTACAATTATAATAATAAAATCCAAATACAAAAAGCCCAATACAGCATTACACACATATGCTTGTGTTGCACTTTTAAAATTGCTGTAGGTCAATTTAAGTGAAGCAATAGATGAACACACAGCCACAGCTGAGCCTCCTTTCCCAGACCTACACTTCCCCTGCATCCAGTAAGGAAGAAAGCAGGCCATGGAAACAACCCAGTAAAGTCCATCTGGGGCTGTGAGGGCAGAAATAGAGGCTGTATTTTCAGCAGACATGTTTCTTGATCAGGTACCACATGGCACCAGGGCTCACTGCCAGCACAAAAAAGGGAAGAAATACCAAAAAACCAAACAAGACTGCTTTCTTACAATGGGAATGCCATTTAGTTTTAAAGACTGGATTGTGGTAAGATGTTCCAAATAAATATACTTGAAAAGAAACCAAAAAATGATCCATACCCTTACCTTTCCGCGTGTTCTCCGTCACATCTACACCAAACTGGATGATGTCACCTGACATAATTTCACATGGTGGGCTTTCCTCAGATCCTCTACTCAGTCTCTGACTATTAATAAAGGTACCATTACTACTTTTAGTGTCTTGAAGATAGAACTGTAAACAAACAAACAAAAACAACAGTAAGATATTTGGGAAAAGACAAGAAATACAAGCACAAGTAAAATTTTATTTATATAAAATTTATTTCTAGAAGATAACAAATGTATAAAACTTTAAACACCCTCATCAGGATGTAAAACCTTCCCATCATCAAGAAGTATTTGTATTTGATTTTGAGTTCACATATGATTGAATTCTAGCACATACACTATGCAAATAATTGCTACAAAGTGTGCCTGAACTGCTGCCTGCAATAGAGGATCACACGTCATCAGCAGCAACACCTTTTGCCACATACATACAACAATTCATATTTTTTAGTTGTCTAACACAAAACTTCTAACTGCTCATACATTCAAGGTAACAGTATTGCATGACAATCATGCTGCAGGGAAGGCTACTGAAGGAAAACCTCTGGCAAAAGACAGAATTCAGGAATTGCAATGAAAGGCCATGGTGAAACTTGAAGAAAACCAACAGGATGCTTTTACTAGCAATACTAGTTCACATCATTAACTAAATTTCAAGATTTCAAGTACTTTTGTAATCACCCAACTTCAGAATTAATTAAATGTTAATAGAAACTTATTGAATCTGAAACTGCTTTTATGATGCAAGACTTGTAGCCTCAACTTCTGCATCTGAAAAGAAGTTACAAATGAATCATCCAGCAGAAAACCAGAGTGACTGGCTGTGACTGAGCAGTGACAGCACAAAAGAGGGGACCAGAACACTCCTGACAGCCAGGTGTAACTACTGGAATGAGTCAATCTCACTACTCCAAGATAACAATAGCTGCTACAGGAACCTGCTGGAATGGTAGAAATCACTGGCTTCCTGCACTCAAAGAATCTCATCAAGTCCCAAAGCAGGCATAAGATTGGGGAAAAAGATGTTGTGTTCAGAGAAATTAATCTATTTCCATCTTTTTCTTATAAAACCAATTGACCTTTCCTTTTTTGCAGCACTCCCTACAAAATTTTCCATGTTTTTAACTGCCTCTATTATTGCAGGCCTCAAAAAAAAACCCTGATACATAGCTCAAAACCACAGTGAAGGGGAAAGATGGGTTTTGAATGGAGCGAGAGTAGAGCACCAGGGCTCCTTAGATCTTGTACTGGGAATGACACAGAGTGTACGAGACAGATCTTATATGGCAAAACCCAGTGGCCCTGGACTCACCAGTCAAGGGGAAGGCCAGCACAGAAAGCCCATGTAGGTGTTAGAAATGAAATGCAGTATGTGAAAAGAAAGAAAAGCAGTATGTGAAAGACTTCCCTTCCCCCAACAGATACGCCTTAGATCTTCAACGGAAGGAAAACAAAACAGTGATCTGTCATAAGCTGATAAAGATGAAGGTAAACATAAATTATGGATAGATCAAGAAATTCTGACTGCACTCACTATATTAATAATCAAACCCACTCTAAATAATACTCTCCATAGTATTAAATACTATCTATTAACATACTGGTGTATCATACAGCTTTTATAAGTTATATGCTTTAAAGCCACTCAAATTAATTTGCTTGTTAATTTAATAGGCTGAAAGTACTGAACTCTCTCATGGCTCAGTGCAGAGGTAATTATTTCTTGCTTCCTGTTTGTTTTCAATTAGCTTTCTTCTTCATTTGAAAATTCTTCTGTTATGAAAAAGTGAGTCACAGGCAAGGAGAAACAAACATGCTTCTGCTTATTTGCTCTTCCCCACCCTTTTCTTCTCTGTGCATATCTGCCTTTTATCCCTCCCAAGGTTTTGATTAATCACTGCCCCTTGTAACCACATTTTTGCACAATCTGCAAATGGGACTCTGACAAGATAGCACAAGGAAATACAGGACAGCGACCACAGGAAAAGAAGTGCAAGAGAGCATCAACCATACAAAGCTTGTAAAACATCAGCAGAGACAACATTCAAATGGCAAAAGGATATTTGTAAACAAATGTCTACAGAAAATACACATTGCATTTAATATTATGTAACTTATGTCCACTTAAGTGCATACTACTGAATTGTATTACATAAATTTTAGAAAAGTGATGCTGTTCAAGTCTTTCCATCCTGTTTGTAAATATGCTTCTTCCTGTATCTAGAAGAAGTAATACATGTTAGTAGCTGATGTCTGAGGAAGGGAAAACACACTGCCTTCAAATCTTGCTATAAAGGATTCAGTTATCTTTAAGGCAGCCATTCCTCAGGAACCCACTGAGCCAGCCCCTTTCAGGTAGCAAATCCCAAAGTTACTTCCATGCTGGTTTTCACTAGTCCAAATGATGTTTCTTAAAGGTCAATCTCTCCATCCCTTTCGCATAATTACTAAAGCTATCTTCAGAAAATAAAATCAAGTGCAAGCCCTGAAACAAACGTGTGTATACATTAACTAATACTTGTGGCAGCACACTGGTTTTTATGTAGTATTTAATTACGCAGTAAGCACAGTGGGTCCTCAGATTGCCAAACCAACACCTTTTAGAGAGCAGCTGTGTGGCACAGCACGTTCTGGGAGGCCAGCACCGCCTCTCCTCCCTGCCCCGGCACTCTCAGGCAGCAGCGCTGCCTCCCGCCCTTCCCAGCGCTCACTGCCGAGCTGTGCCACCACCTCCCCACCCGGACTGGCTCAGGCTCTTGTTCAGCCACTGCAAACCAGTTCCGAGCAAGGTAAACAAGGAGGTGCTTAAGCTGACGAAAAAATGGCAGCATGTACTGGCCTAATTACACTTGCTTTTATAATTCACTCTCCAGAGCGAAGTCCCAGCCCTTTTGCACCTCATATTAACAACAAGTCCAATGCAGAGCAGAGATGGCAGCTCACACACATTCAAAACAACTCAGCTTTTGAGGACTGTTAAAGCATGACCACATCCTTAATTCAAGGGATAGCTGTGTAATTGTGAGTGCTGGTTTCCCCTCCTTTCATAAAAAATACAAGGTAACACACAAAGTATTCAAGAAACTTACGTTCCATTATCATAACATCTCAACCAAAAGTCTCTCCTAGTCTCTCTTTCTTCTTTATAATTTATCCTTTATATGCCCTCCCACCTACAAGCCATTAATAAGACCAATTAACCGCAGACACCTTACCAGCCTGCTTCCACAAAACTTTTGAAGATTTTACTCTCAAATAAAACTTGCAGTTCATCAGTACACACAAACTTCTCCAAGTACAATCCACCTTCCTTAGAATCTATATTATGGAAGTTTCAAAAAGCTACAGATTTTTGTTTCCCTGTTTTCAAGGAATTATGGATTTATTTCACAAACTTAGTATTTATCGTATTTCAAATTAGTCTTCAGTTTTGCAAATGAAACAAAGGCACCTCCTCTGCTCTGACCTATGGTGCATAAAAATCACATTCCTCCTTCTAGGTCAATGATTCAGAAGAGCATCAATAACCTGCTAAATCAGTTCATGTTTTTGTTCATGCAGTTAGATATCACTATGATTTTTCCCCTATAACAAATTGCTGGTATTTTCAGATTAAAGAAACAGAAGGTTCTTCTGTAGTGATCCCAAACCATAATACATCAAAGCTAAGTACATAAAATATGTTAATTCTAACTGATATTAGGAAGTTGCAAATTGCTATGCTCCATGAGGACAGATTTTAACCTAACTTATGAAATGCAGGTTAACTGTTTTCTTCAAAGTAATAAAACCAACTAACAATAACAAACTCATTCTGTTTAATGATCACTATTGCAAATTCTTCCAGAAGGCAGCTGAAGAGAGCTCCTTAATCAGCCTGACAAGTGAGAAAGCCAGGATGTGTTGTCCTTCCCAAACCATACAGAGGCCTGATACTGGATGAGACACTTCTGTCTCAGAGAAGACAAAATATGGGCTCAGAGATGGATACAAAATCTTGAAAGCAACACACTTCCTCAGTGATTTGATTATCTGGATTTAATTACAGTAGAACTACAGGAAGAAACAACTGACCAGCTTTTTCAAACTTCTATATTTGCTATTACTATGTACAGCCATCATTTGCCATTTTAATGGCACATTACTGCTACTCCATCCAACCCAGCTTGAAACTGCAGTTCAGGGCAATTATTCTGACAACTACAGTGAGGAGAATTGCTGGAAAACTGAGGCAGTTTGTCCAGAGATGTGAGATTCAGTATGTGAAGAGAAACAACTTCTACATCAAAAATGCAGGAAGAAGAAGAAATCATTACATATAATTAAACCTATTTCAGCCTCTTTCCAAAGCTGAATTAATAATTAAATAAGTACCAAATTGTCGGCTATTGCCTTTTACACAAAGTCAATATATTTTATGTATTAAATAAATTTCCACTGCCTAAAAAATGAATGTAGAAAAATAAGCCAAATTTCAGAATCTCCTAGTTTACCATTCTTTTTCTCACCTCTTATTTCCTCTGTGAAAGAAGTACACACAAATCCCAGGAGCTTCAGGGTCCTGTTATACCTTTGTGGCTTTAGCTTGAACCAGAAAGATTTCTATGATTTTGTCCAATTATGAACTATAACCCATAAGGAGTTGGCAGTTTCATTTTTGCCATGGTTACCACCACAAAGGGGCAGCAGGGCTATTGGCCAGAGCAGTTAAACCATAAAATGCTGCAGTTAATGATGAAAAATTCTTCCCTGACTCACACTAAATAATCATTGAACAATTAATGCAGGCATTATAAATGCACCCCCTGAGTACTAAAGCTAATACCCAAAAGCAGGAAGTAAATAGGGATCTAGAAATTGGAATACTTGCCCTGGAGTGATACTTCACTAAGCAGTAAGGTAGCTGAGTTCATTTACTCACTGCATGCTGAGAATTCTACCAGGAAACAAAATACACTGTGCACAAGTCAACTGTGCAAAGCCAAAGACTTTAAAACAAAATATATACCATGGTCAAACCCACATGGCCAACATTTGCCACACTGTGGCTAGAAATTTGTTTTCTCTCATATTGTTACAAGATGAAAATAATCTTATTTGAATCTTCACAGTGAGAATTTTCTC